AGTTGTTTACAGGGGGTAGTCATGTCCTAGGCCAATGTCTTCCCTGACAAAGGTCACTCTGAGCCCATTGTCTTTTAGCATCTCAGATAACCTCCCTGTGAAATGTCAGGGTAACCTGTAACTTCCCTTTTCAGGACCCCTCAGGCACAACCAAATGCCCTGGGTGCCAGGACAGAGACCATAAGTCCCTTCATTGTTATTGTTATCACGTTAATTGTTGACCTAACTATCCTGCACCCACCTAAGTAAAAGAAGTGTGTGTCTATCATTTCACTTTTTATCCAATCCCAGAGGTTTCCCTGCTTTGCTTTCTCCTGCCTCCCTAATCTATCAGCATTGGAGTTCATGTAATCCACGTATGTCTCCTTTGACTAATGTATAACATAAGGTGAGAAACCACCATTCTCTGGAGCATTATCCCAATCCATTAAGATTCTGCTTCCCAGCAATTGTCAATAGTTTGGCTCAAATAAACTCACAAAAGTTCTTTACAGGTTTGAATGTTTTTTATGTCACAGGACATTAGTCATGTGACATTGTAATTATTTGTATTTATCTCTCCTTCTAGACTAAAGTCATTGCTGGTGTAGACCACATTGCGTTTATGTTAATTTCTCTAACATCTAACCTGGTAGAAATTGATATTCAGTAAATGTGTATTGAATGAATGAATAAATAAATTACTTCATAAGCCATATACAAAAGAATTACAACTCAGTCTCAGAAAGGGAATGAAATTTTAGAACTAGCATCTTTAATGTCTAGATTAACTTCAGATTGAAACTGTCTGCCCTTGAGCAATTACTCTAACCTTTTTCTCTGCATCTAATGGCCCAGGATCCCATTCCATGGAGCTGGGAGCTTCATTAGTGAATTCCAGTAAAGGGCTTTCTAATTGGCAAAGCAGATAATCACAGAAAATGACTTTGAGGGAGAAGGATGACATGTATCTAAAAGACAATGCGGGAGCTTCTTTCCAGGGTTTCCATCCCATTTCAGGCTGATACGGGCAGCCCCAGGGGAGCCAGGGCCCTCTCAGGGGCTCAGGCATCATGAGGTCCCATGGTTGCTGTGAAAGACTTTGTTGGAAGGCACAGGAGCCCTGATTTCCAGTGCCTCCCAGCTCAGGGCCACTGGGCTGCCTGCTTACCTGTCAGCTCTGTCTGATGTTCTGCACTGTGGCTCTGCCTTTACAAAACATCCACAGATCATTGGGATGTGCTTGACCTTTAGAAATACACTTGTGCTCCCGGAAGCACAGGATCATTTGTCACTGCCATTTACAAAGTGCTATCTAGGTAAATAGCACTGGGTAAGCCCTGAAAGTAGCCACCAGCTCTTTCAATATGGGTCTTTAGAAACAACAAAAGTCTGGGGATATAATATACAGCAAGGTTACAATCTATAATCATAAAAGTGTAATATGATAATTAGATCAAACGTCCTTCCAGACGACCTTCCAGACAAAGCTGAGGCTGTGAGGGAAGTCTGGGTCCCGGTTGCCAGAGGGAAGCCGGTGCCGGTAGCAAGGCGAAGGGAGGCCTACTTTTGCATGAATTTTGTGCATCGGGCCTCTAGTAGTTAATAACACTCTATTACATATTTCAAAGTTGCCAAGAGAGATCTTCAAAGTTCTCATTATAAGTAAAAACAATTTTGTAACTATATATGGTGATGGATGTTAATTAGACTTATTATGATGACTATTTTGCAATATATACAAATATCAAATTAGTTTCAGTTGTATACCTGAAACTAATATAATGTTATATATTGATTATACTTCAATAAAAAGTCTTTTTTAATTTTAAAAAATAAAAAATTTATGAATGACATATTTTATACTTATTTATAAGGCCATATAAATATAAAATGTGATGTATACAAATTACAATTGATTTATAGAAAAATCATCATTGAGAACCACCTGACTACTTTCTGAACAGAAGTTCCATAACTAAGGGTATAAAGAAGAGCCATGCCACAGGGAAGCTGGTAGGCAGGGTAGAGATACAGACGGCATTTCCCACACCCGCAGTGTGGGGATGAAAAGCCTAGAGGCATATCTTAGCTGTGGAGGTCCCCCCTGAGAAGCGAAGGGGCCCAGTCCCCACACCAGGCCCTCAGCCTGGACACTAGTGCTGAAAAGAGGAGTTTTCATAATGTCTAGCTGTACAAGCCACCAGGGATTGCATCTGAGTGAGATGGAAGGCTGTTGGAGATGAGGCATTGCTCTTGAGGGACCCAAAGATGGACTCACTTGCTCACAAATTCACTTGCTCTGTGCTCTAGTACAGGGGAAGCAGCTAAAAAACACAAGGGACATATGGGCAGGAAATAATGGACTAGCTTCAGACAAGGGCTGGAGAGGCAGGGGTCAGGGCAGCTCTCTGTGGGGACAAACGGGCTGACTTGCACCACTGTTCTTTTGTGAAACTCTCCTCCCACCTAGCTCTGATGTATGTGGGCACCAAATCTGTGCTCTTCATTGACCTGGCTACCACTATTCACCCTGCCCTGGAGATTCCCTGAAACCCTGCCCCAACTAACTTACTTGTCCTGCCTGAGCCACTTCCACGAGGTTTTTCACAGGAGCAGCTACCCTTGTTTTGTGCTGTGGACTTTACTAAAACCTTGCAAAGGTCCACTAACTCCCCCAAAATAATGACTGGCCTTGGCATGCCCTATACCTCTTGCTAAGTGCTCCCAAGCCCAGCACAAGTGGTGACTGGTCATACCTTGCATTGTAACTCCCACCAGGTGGCCCCAAGTCTGGCATAAGCAGGGGCCAGTCTTGGCTGATGGGAATGTAGCTGCAGTAAGATATCCTGCAAAGGAGTGACTGGCCTCAGTTCACACTGTGGTGACCACCAAAGGGTCCTTTTGCAGCACAGGAGGCAGCTGGCCTCAGTCCACAGCATGGCATCTCTAGTGCCTCTAAGGTCGGCATAAGTGCAGACCAAGCTCACCACTGTAGCTCCTCCCAGGAAGCCCCACGCAAGGGGCTGAACTTGTCCTATACTATTGCCCCTCCCAACAGCCCCCAGAAACAATATACCCAGTGGCAGGCTTTAAACTATAAAACAGCACCACCCAACCAGCTCCACAAACAACACATCCAAAGGACAAACTTAGCCAGAACCAGAGCCCTGCTAAAGTGACTGCTGCTTGAAGTTCGCCTCAACATGGCAGCTTGTCCGCTGTGGTCATGGGGAACCCCCACAACAAGTCAGCCTGAGAGACATCCTCACCTCACCATGCAAAAATTAATCACAGCTTTACTACAACAGAAGGGCACACAAAAAAAAAAAAAACTCACATAAAGGACACCCCTGAAACAGTCAGTTCAGATGACCAGGAGACTGTGATCCCTGGATTCAGGTGTCAGATATTTACATTATGATTCATAACAGTAGGAACATAAAAGTTATGAAGTAGCAACAAAAATAATTTTATGGTTGGGTCACAACATGAGGAACTGTATTTAAAGAGCCAGAAGGTTGAGAACCACTGCTCTAGTGTCACTCTCAATTTCGATGCCTGCTCGGCCATGGCCCCAGAGTGGTCTAGCTGCTGTGGGTGGTATTGGGCCTATGCCACCGACTACAAATATCTATGTATGAAATACCGACAGAAGGGGGACTGTGACAATGTAGGGGAGTTTACTGTCCATATTGGCAGTGTTCCCACTACCACTCTGGTGCTTTATGTAGTCCACTAGTAAACCTCAGATCCCCCTCAGACTGTGGCCCCCTTACATGTAATCCTATCAGTTTTACCATATCAAACCCAGTAGACCCATCCTGGAACCAGACTTAGCCAGCAGGAATTAGAATAGATGGAGGAGGCAGGGATTCCGGGGGTATAATTGTCCTCATCAAAACCTGTATTAATCCTCGACCTATCCCTCCTCCACTAAAGGACATTCTCTCTCGCCCCGCAAACTCTGGGCCTACTCCTTTACCCACCATCATCAACACAACCTTCCATCTACTCTCTAACATCAATCCCTCCTTCTCTACATCCTGCTGGATTCGTCTGTCACTGGCTCGAACCCTCATCATAGCTACTCCAATCCCAACCTATTGGACCACTAATTTAATTCTTAACTATACCAAACCTCAACGCACCCTATACAACATCTCTCTCTTTAATACAGAAAACACTACCTGTTTAACAAATACCTCTCAAACCACTACCTCAGCTACCCCTGCACCTTACTACCGTGCACAATCTATAAATTTACCCCTCCCTTAGCCTGCCCTCCACTGGGTATTTTTCTCCTTTGTGGGACTACAGCCTGCACCTGTGTCCCCCAGGACCTGTCACACTCGCTCTGCCTTTATGTCTTCCTAACCCCCATCTTTCTATCAGAACAGAGGGAGAACTCGAATCCTCTCTTGGTCTTCTCAGGCCTCGACACAAAAGGGCGGCCCTTGTTCCCCTCTGAGTGGGTACGGGAGTCCTCTCTGCAGTAGGGACAGGAGTGGGAGGCATTTCCGCCTCCGTTCATTTCTACCACAAATTGCTGAATTTTTAGAAGATATCTCCATCATTAGCAATTCCCTTGAATCCCTTCAAAGGCAGGTAGACTCCTTAGCAGCAGTAGCCCTACAGAACCGGTGGAAAGCAGGATCCTGAAGAGATATTTGGGCACCTGTGTTCACAACATCTCAGGTGGAAGCAGCCACTGAGGAATGTGCCTGGAGACATGAATGGATAAGAAGCAAAATGGAGCATAGACATGTACCATGGAATAGTGTCCAGTTTTAAAAAAGGAAGGAAATTCTGACACATGCTCCAACATGGATGATGACCTTTGAGGATATGATGCCTCATGACATCAGCCAGGCCCAAAAAGGCAAGTCCTGTAGAATTCCACTTTAATGAGGTGGTCAAATTCACAGAGACAGAATGTGCAATGCTAGTGGCCAGGGACTGGGCGGGAGAAGGAAGGGAGAGTTACCTGTTTCATGGGTTCAGAGGTTCTGTTTAGCAAGATGGAAAGTGGGGAGGGAGCCTTATGGAGGGATGACCATGTGTTCCAGCCCCCCAAAGAAGAGAAGGCAGAGGACAAGGAGCCATTGCATCTGACTACTCTGTCCCTTGGGCAGGAGACATAGAGGACCTCTCATCTCACCAAGCAAGGCAAGGAGACGCAGACCCACACACCCCTGGCCCTCACAGACAAGTGCCGGGACCCACATTCAATCAGAGTTGTGCTCCATGCTGGGAGTGGGGGGGAGCGAAAGGAGCAAGAGCAGGGAGAAGTGAGATGTGGGTGACCCCTCCCGCAAGGTCACAGTGCCTGGTCCCTGGTTGCTCCCGACCTGGGCTGTGTAGTCGACCTCTCTGAGCCTTGGCTTCCTCCCCTTGGCCCAGGGACAGGCATGGCTGTCAGGTCACTCTGGGGCACTCAGTGGCCTGGCACAGGGAGAACTGAGCAGAGGATGGGGCTCACCCTCTGGACTTAGAGCTCCCTCCTGTTGATTCAGTCCTGAGGGAGCTCCTGGATTCTAGAAGCCAGTTCAGAGATTATCAGATTAAGTAGGGTGAGATCAGTGTGTGCATCTGACTCCAGGTGCCCTGGGTTCTGAAAACCAATCTAGAGAAGATGAGATCAAGTAGGATTCATTGGCTTATCGAGTTAATCTGCTTGGAGACAGGCTTTCCACCTATATAAGGGCTGAGGGCACCCACCCTAGGCCATTAGCCACCAGAGCCAAGAAGAGCAGGACCATGTCGGCACCCGGGAGAAGTGAAGCAGCAGGAGCTCCAGCCCCCCTGAGGGCCACGGCACCGAGCTGGTTTCCTCCCGGACATCTGCAAGCTCAGGAGGCCGAGCTGGATGCCTCCTGCCCTGCCCCAGCCCTGGTGCCCCTGCCTCACTGCCAGTGGACCTGCCATCAGCCTATTGGCCCTGGCAGCCTGCTCCAGGTGCCCCCACAAAACAGCTGGGCCCCCAAATATCTCATCATCCAGCCAGAGTCTGTGAGGAGAGGCCTGGCCCCCTGCACCTGGCTACCCACCTCCCAGGAGCTGTGTGACCTGCTGCAGGGAGCAGAGCAGGATCCCATGGAGTCAGCCAGCCTGCCCCAGGCTGCCCAGCAGCTGGCCCCGGAGCCCCGCTCCATCCACCTCTCAGCTGCCAGAGATAAGAGGAAGATTGCCTGTGTCCCCATGCCCTACCTGGCTGCAGGTGCCAAGAGGCGCCTTCCAGCCAGCAGCAGCAGCCTGCCTCCCAAAAACCAGGGGCTGGGCAGCCAGATGTCAGAGGCCCACGCCCCATCAGGCCAGGTGTCCATGGTCACCAGTACTGTGCCCCCCAAGCGCGTGGCCCGTGGCCCACCTGTGCAGAGTTCTCAGAAGCCCGTTCCTCCAAAAGACTGTGGGGTCAAAGTGCCCGCAGTCACCCATCAATGCCATCTCAGCCTCTTTATGGATGAGGGTCTCAAGTTCTGTTCCTCCAGCCAGGAGGCCACAGGGAAGGAGCTGAAGGAGGAGAAGGCGGTCTACCACCAGAGCCCCACCAAGAGGATGGGTCAGGAAGTGGCCGCCAACACTTTCCACAAGATGCAGGGCCTGGAACCCGGCCCTGGAGCCAGTCTCCACAAGACCCGGGACAGCAGGGATCCTTTGCAAGGGGCCGCCCTGTACCAGAGCCTCAAGGAGCACCTGCTAACCCAGGCCCAGCTCAAGGAGAATGGATACCCCTTTGCGCACCCCACACTGCCCAGGGGTGCTCTCCTCTTCACCACTCAGGAGAAGCAGCCCCAAGACTCCTCCTGCAGGCTGTGCTGCTGCTTTGGCACCCAGTACCTCATGGCTCCCTCAGGCCGCTGTGTGCACCCGGAAGAATGTCACTACCACTGGGGGCGGCTGCACCCCACTCCAGCGGCTGGGGGCTGGGAGATTCAGTACACGTGCTGCTCGGCCCCCATCAGCTCCCCTGGCTGCCAGGTGGCCCAGCAGCACGTGCAGGACTGCCGCCAGCAGGACCTGCAGGGCTTCGTGCAGACCTTGGCCAAAGAGCTGCCCCCAGGGGCTCACCCTGGCATCTACGCCCTGGACTGTGAGATGTGCTACACCACCTCTGGCCTGGAGCTGACTCTCATCAGCGTGGTGGACAGCGCCCTGCGGCTGGTGTACGACACCTTCGTCAGGCCGGACGGCGACATCGTCCACTACAACACCAGGTTTTCAGGAGTCACCGCAGCTGACCTGGCCCACACCAGCACCTCGCTCCGGGACGTCCAGGCCACCTTGCTGACGCTCTTCAATGCCCACACCATCCTCATGGGACACAGCCTGCAGAGCGACCTGCTGGCTTTGAAGCTCATTCACGGCACCGTGCTGGACACATCTGTGCTCTTCCCGCACCGCCGGGGCCTCCCCTACAAGCGCTCCCTTCGCAACCTCACGGCTCACTTCCTCGGACACGTCATCCAGGACAGGGTGGATGGCCACAGCTCCAGCGAGGATGCCAGTGCCTGCATGCGCCTGGTCATCTGGAAGATGGGACAAGACGCCAAGACCGAGCGCTGACCGCCGCCCAGCATTTTAAGGACAGCACTACGACTTTGGAAACTGCTGTGTGATCAAACATATCTCTTGGCCCACATGTCTAACAATAAAGGATGGTTCAGTGAACTATAGTACATCTGTCATGTTATTTGTCATCATGTTTTTTCCTGCTTGGCTGCCATTTCTGTGTGTGTATACCCAGAAGTGGCACTGCTGAACCATTTGGTAATTTTTAAATTTTTTTTCGTTTTTGTTTGTTAATCCTATCCAGAAGATATTTTTTCCATTGAATTTTAGAGAGAGTTGGAAGGGGGGGGGGGAGAGAGAGAGAGAGAGAGAGAGAGAGAGAGAGAGAGTACAGAATTGGGCCTCCTGGTATTTCCAGGCTGCGTCATGATTACCGTTACTCCACCCGCCACTTCGGGGAAGGGATGATCTATCATTCCAGGCTTTTGGTAATAGTAAAATAATTGAGAGTCCAGGCAGGGTCAGGGGGTGAAGGTCCATCTTCCATAGCTGCCTCCTGCTGAGAGGGGGGCATTGTCAGAGGCATTTACCCTGGATCTCAAAGATTCTGGCAATATACATGTCCCTGTTCAGAGTTCAAGGCCAGATAGGTCTCTCTCACCTTCTGGTTGGCGAACGCCTGCATTCTATCTTGTAAGAAACTAGTGAAACAGCTCATGAGACAGGGGCCAAAGAGCAAAATTAAAAGAATAGATACCAGGGCCTAATAGTGGAGGAGCCATGGGGCAAGTGAGCCCCCATTCTTGCTGGTTACATCATCTTTGGTCAATCCTGTCCAGGAGAGATTTAATGTGATCTTTGACAATTCCTGATTCATTAACAAAGTAGCAGCATTCTTCCCCAAGAAAGACACAGGTACCCCCTTTTTCTGCTGTCAAGAGATCTAAAGCACACCGGTTCTGTAGGGCTACTGCTGCTAAGGAGTCTACCTGCCTTTGAAGGGATTCAAGGGAATTGCTAATGATGGAGATATCTTCTAAAAATTCAGCAGACAATTTGTGGTAGAAATGAACAGAGGAGAAAATGCCTCCCACTCCTGTCTCTACTGCAGTGAGGATTCTAGATGCCAGTTCAGAGATTATCAATTAAATAGGGTGAGATCAGTGTGTGCATCTAACTCCAGGGGCCCTGGGTTCTGAAAACCAATCTAGTGAAGATGAGATGCGGGTGACCCCTCCCACAAGGTCAGAGCTCCTGATCCCTTTCTTGCTCCCGACCTAGGCTGTGTGGTCTTGTCCTCACTGAGCCTTGGCTTCCTCCCCTTGGCCCAGAGACAGGCATGGTTGTTGGGTGACTCTGGGGCACTCAGTGGCCTGGCTCACGGAGGGCTGAGCAGAGGATGGGCTCACCCTCTGGACTCAGAGCTCCCTTCTGTTGATTCGGTCCTGAGGGAGCTCCTGGATTCTAGAAGCCAGTTCAGAGATTATCAGATTAAGTAGAGTGGGATCAGTGTGTGCATCCAACTCCAGGTGCCCTGGGTTCTGAAAACCAATCTAGGGAAGATGAGATCAAGTAGAATTCATTGGCTTAGTGAGTCAATCTACTCAGAGGCGGGGCTTTCTGCCTATATAAGGGCTGAGGTCACCCACCCTAGGCCATTAGCCACCAGAGCCCAAGAGTGCAGGACCATGTCCACTTGCCAGCAGGGAGCAGGCGTAGCTGCAGTCAGACATCCTTAGCACTGCTGAGGAGGCAGGAGTGCCTCCACCACCACCGCTGTGATGGAAGCTGTCAGCCTGGCTTGTGGCTGAGCAGAGCTCCCCCTGTGAGAGCACACTGACCACCAGGAGGAAGCTCCTGCATTGAGCATCTGCCCCCTGGTGGTCAGTGTGTGTCATAGTGACCAGTGATTCTCAGTCACTCTGCTGTTAGGGTCAATTTGCATATTACCCTTTTATTATATAGGATAGAGGCCTGGTGCATGGGTGGGGGCAAGCTGGTTTGCCCTGAAGGGTGTCCCGGATCAGGGTGAGGGTCCCACTGGGGTGCCTGGCCAGCCTGGGTGAGGGGCTGGAGGCTGTTTTCAGGCTGGCCAAGCCCCCAGTGAGGACCCTCACCCCATGAGGGAGTGGCCAGTCTGGGTGAGGGGATGATGGCTGTTTGCAGGCTGGCCACAGCCCCTTCAGGGTAGGGGTCCCCACAGGGTAGGGGTCCCCATACCCCCTTCAGGGTGGAGGGTCCTGCTGGGGTCCCTGTCTAGTCTGAGTGAGGGGCTGATGGCTGTTTGCAGGTTGGCCACAGCCCCTTCAGTGTGGGGGTCCCACCTAGGGTGCCTGGCCAGCCTGAGTGAGGGGCTGATGGCTGTTTGCAGGCTGGCCACAGCCCCCAGCTACCCAAGCTCCCAGTGGAGGCTGGCTGGAAGCAGTTATCTGGGATTTATTTAGCTTCTATAATTAAAACTTTGTTACCTTTTGCAGAGGCCACAGCTGCCAGGGCAGGCAGAAAGCTTGGCTTCCTTCATCGCTGGGGCAACCAAGCCTCTTGCTTGCTCCAGCTCCGTGGCTGCCGGCCGTCATCTTGGTTGAGATAATTTGCATATAGTAACTGTGATTGGCTGGTGGGCATGGCTTTGGAGTAGCGAAGGTATGGTCAATTAGCATATTTGTCTTTTATTAGTGTAGATATGTGCTTCAGTCAGTTGTCCCAATTCTTTCCTCTAATGTTTACCAATTCCCATTCAAACATACTCAGCAGAGGGGCATTTTGGATTAGAGGAGGGTGTTAAAGAGGCTTTTATTTTCTAATACTGCAGGCTGCTTTCTTATTATCAAAGCAGTTAACAGCCTGCATCAACATTAAATGTAGACAATTTCCTACTACTGTAGTTAAAACTGTGGTTGGTATCTATGCTAGTACTTGATATTAATGTTAGCCCCTTAGGGCTTCTTTGAAACTTATAATTAGGTGAGAGAAAGATAAAATGATAACACTTTTATTTTTATTTTTATTAAATTTATCAGGAGTAACAACAGTAAATAACATTATATAATTATTGGCTTACAGCTTTATAATATGATATCTATATACTCTTTTTTGTGCTCTCCACCCAAAACCTAGTCTCATTTCATCACCATGTATTTGACCCACATTGCCTGTTCTCCTCCCCTCATCTCCTCTCCCATCTGGTAACCACCAGTCTAATGTATGTACCTATATGTTTAATGGGGGCTTTTTGCTTTGTTTATATATCTGTTGCTTTTTGTGTTATATTCCACATGTGTGTGAAATCATATAGTTCTTATTCTTTCCCATCTAAATTATTTCACTTAGCCCTAGCAGTTTGGCTCAGTGGATATAGTGTTGGCCTGCAGGCAGAAGGGTCCCAGGTTTGATTGTGGTCAAGGGCATGTACCGCCGTTGCAGGCTTCTCCCTGGCCCAGGCCCTAGTGGGAGGTAGGGAGGGTGCATGCAGGAAGCAACCAATCGATGTGTTTCTCTCACACTGATATTTCTCTCTGTCTTTTCCTCTCTCTTCCACTCCCTCTAAAAATCAATGGAAAAATATCCTCAGGTGAGGATTAAAAAATAATCAATCAATCAATCAATCAATCAATAATAGTTTCACTTAGTATAATGCTCTAAAAATATATCCATGGGGTCAAGTTCACAAAAACCCTTCTGATACCAGGGTCCATACTTTCAATGTTATGTTTTCTTCTATGTATTTTAATGTTTCGCGTCTTACATTCAAGTCTTTCATCAGTTTTGAGTTCATTTGTGTGTGTGTGTCAGAGAGCAGTATAGTTCCATTCTTCTGTGTGTGACTTCACAGTTTCCCCAATGCCATTTACTGAAGAAACTTTACCTTCTCCTCTTGTGTTTCTAAATTTTTTTTGAAAATTAGTTGCCCAGTTGTATGTTGGTTTAGTTCCATGCTCCTGATTCTGTTCCATTAGTCTGTGTGCCTGTTTTTTTGCAATACCATACTGTTTCGATTCCTGTAGTATAGTCAGAAGAAAAAGATTCTGTTCTTTTTTTTCTCAGATTACTTTGGCTATTTGGAGTCTTTGTGGTTTCATGCAAATTTGAGGAATTTTTGGTTCTATTTTTTTTTTTTTGAAAAATGCCATTGGGATTTTGATGGCGATTCCATTAAATTTGTATATTGCTTTAATATGACATTTTAAATATATTAATCCTCCTAATCTATGAACATGCAATATGTTTCCATTTTTTGTGTCTTCCTTATTTTCTTTTAACCATGTCTTGTAGTTCTCAGTGTACGCATACTTCACTGTCTTGTTAAATTTATTCCTAGGTATTTTATCCTTTTTGTTGCAATTGTAAATGGGATTCTTTTCTTTATTTCTTTCTGATATTTTATTGTTAATATATAGGAATGCAAGAAATATTTTATGTTGACTTTGTATCCTGCAACTTTACTGTATTTGTTTTATTGTTTCTCAAAGTCTTTTGGGTTTACAGTATATAGAAACATGTCATCTGCAAATAGTACAGTTTTATTTATTTATTCCAATTTTGAATGCCTTTAATTTATTTTTCTTGCTTGATTCATCTTTTTAAGACTTCTAGAACGATGATGAATAACTGTGGTGACACTGAGCATCCTGGTCTTGTTCCTGATCTTAGAAGAGAAGCTGTCAGTTTTTCACTTTGAATATGATATTAGCTGAGGTTCAGTATATATAGCCTCTACTATTTTGAGGTTCTTTCCTTCTATGCTCATTTTATTGAATGTTTTAATCATAAATGGATGCTGTATCTTGTCAATTGATTTTACTGCATCTATTAGCATAATCATATGATGTTTATTTTTATTTTGTTAATGTGGTGTATTACACAGATTGATTTGCATTTGTTAAATCATTCTTGCATTCCTGGAATAATCTCCACTTGATCATGATGTGTGATACTTTTAATGCATTTTTGTATTTTATTTGCTATTATCTTGTTTAGGATTTTTAATCTATGTTCATCATTCAGAAATATTGCCCCATAAGTTTATTTGTGTGTGTGTGTGTGTGTGTGTGTGT